CCAGCCGTTCATTTTTATGTTGTAGTTCAGCCTCTGACCACTAGTTGGCAGCAGTGAGCCAGACATTTGGCTCCTCTACCTCTTGAGCGCCAGAGTAACGGTAGCATTAGCATTGTAAGTAAACATTAGCTTCACGCTCCGATAGCTGAATCTGAGCAGAAAAGACCGACACCCTCTGCCTTCTAAGCTGAGGTAAGTTTACAAACAGTTACTTATTTGTCTGTATTTTAAGACAAATTAAGTGTCTCGTGCGCTCTTTTTTCCAACGTTACGGTAGGCAGGCAGGCATATAGCACATGCGTCTAGTGTCTCGAACTCGGCACCCCCCCCGTGACATAAAACTGTCTGTTGCTCTCACTGGGCCTCATGCAAGAACATGTTCATATTCTTGTCCTAAATTTCTCTTATTTTTGTTCGTACAAAGGGTTCGTACGAACATGTCACGTCAGATTCAACAACCTCTTCTATCTTCAGGAAAAGTGTGTAAATGAGCTGCGTAAATTCACCTGTTCGTATCCAGCTGCTCGTGCATGCTGAGAGGTTATTTACACATTTACCCCCAAAACACCATATAAGGACACGTTTCCTGCCTCACATACCAGGTAGTGTCCATATGTGACATCGCAAAGTAAAAAGGAAGAACTTTACGAGTTCGGAGATTGAAGTCCTGCTCTCAGAGACCCAGAAAAGAAAATCTGTCATTTTTAGCAGGTCAGCTGTGGAATTAAAGGAGCTGCTTAAAGGAATGAAATGTGCTGTTAATGTTGTGTCTCCTGTGGGTCGTATACAGTCACAGAAATAAAAATCTAAATCATATTCATCTCTAGTCCTGCTCCGGTTTTTCTTTGATCAAATATTTTTAGTTTAAGTGTAAACAACTGTGTTACATAGTTTTCATTTATTCAGAAGAAGAGCCATTGCGCACCGCTGAAAAAAAAAACCTGCAATACTGTTTATCGCAAAATATCGGGATATATCGTATCGTGAACCTTCTGTCATGAAATGTATAGTATCGCCAAATTCTTGCCAATACACAGCCTTACTGAACACACTGTTATCACCTGAACACACAGTTTTCACAGATAGATTTAAAGAGATAATTAAATCACTGCAGGTTGTGTTGAATTTAACTGACCTATAAAGATAATTTCATCACAATAAAAACAAACCACAGTTACACAATAAAATGTAAACAGTTCAGAGAATCAGAGAGCATTTAAAATACTAAAATCTGTTAACATATTTGTGAATATGGAAAATAAATTGATATATGTTTAAACAATAAGACAAAAATTAAGAATAAATAAAAATATTTGTTGTTTTTATTCTCAACTGTGGTTTGGTACCTGGTAGGCCCTGATGAGCGACTGGACAGCCAGGTGGTCCTCCACCAGCTTCTCCACGTTGGGTTGGGCTCCGACAAGCGAGGACAGCCGAGGAAGGCCGAGGCCTGCCGCCGCCGACAGATCCAGAGGAGACTGGTAGGCGGAGCCAGGAGGAGCGCCGGCATTGGCGTTTCGGAAAAACACGTCCCAGGACTGCAGGAGAAAGAAAGTGTTAAAAACATGTTTCTAGTTTTTGTTTATTTTAATTCTAGAGTAACAAATGATACAAACCAAGTCCAGATTATTTGTTTTATTAGTTCATTTAGTTGCACTAATTTAAACCAGTTGTTACCAAATTCAAGATGGCCGCCATAGCTAACACAAAAACAGCTATAACTTACAGATCTTGAGCTAAAACTTGGTATGTAGTAGATGAGTCATCCTCAACACAAACTCTGAGCACTGACATATCTTGCAATTTTACGGCCCTTACACACATTGGTGTTTTTTCAACTAAATTAATAATAAAAGTCATATTTGATCAATTTATTTAAATACAGTATGCACATGAACACATGCACATGATTTTTTTATTTCCACCTTCTACATAAATGTTCGCAAAATGTTCATGAGTTGGCAGAAGTTGTCTAAACATTATAGTGTGGCAGGGTTTGACCAAAACATCAACAGCTGTGTCATCTCACAACAGAATAATCTTTTAATTTGTTAAATTAGCAGAGTCGGGGTTTGAGTTGTTTGTTTACATTCAAACACGTCTCAGATGCTGAGGCAGTTACCGTGTTTCCATTAAGGCTTTTTGATGCGCATTTAGAAGTGTTTCATTAAAAATGCGAGAAAAAAAAGTCGGATGGAAACAGCAAAATTTAAAATAAAAAAAATCCTCAATTCGCTAAAAAGTTTTTACGCTCGCTTGAGGTGGTTTTTGGATGATTCGCAAAGTAGTTAATGTGCAAAACTGGAGATGGAAATTTGCCGAATAAATTGTGACGTAGCGCATATTTACCTCACGTGACGTTCAGCTGTTTCCGCTTTCCTGCCTCATCCCAGATGTTATCATAAATGCGCGAAAACATTGTGTTTATTTCCCTACGTCTCCTGGCAGCGTTAAACATAGCCTGTACTAGCTGAATAGATAGAATAATTACAACTTGCCCAATAG